TTCATGAGAAGCCACTTTGAAGATATCAATATGTAATACAACCACCATTGTTAATTCCCTACCACTTTGTTTGTAACTCTGCATTGTCTGTATTGTGCTTGTGATATGCTGTAAAATGTTGTATGTCTGTTAATGTTTCCCTCCTTTTATCCTTAAATAAATAAATAAATAAATAAATAAATAAATAAAGACAGAGTAGCTAGATGCGTTTTTTAAAAGTCAATTAAATGATACCTATGAGAGACTCACTTCCACTTTTAGGACATACACAGACTGAAAATGATGGGATGGGAAAAAGAAACACTCTACACAAATGTAAACAGAGAGCAGAGATAACTCTACTTATATCACACAATATAGGCTTTTGTCAAAAAACTCACAAAACACATGGCAAGTCATGTAATGATAAGTTAATTCATCACGAGGATGAACCAGCTGAAATACATATGCATCCAGCATTAGAATACCTAACTATAGACAACCAATATTACCAAATCTTAAAAGAGAAATAAACGCAATACAGTGGCAATAAGAGACAGCGATATCCCCCTTTCATCAATGGCTAAATCATACTGATGGAAAATCAGTAAGAAAATATTGGATTTAAACTATATTTTAAAACAAATGGATCTAACAGATACATGCAAAATAGTCCATCAAATAGCAGCAGACTGTGTATTAGTCTCAAGTGCACATGAAGGCATTCTTCAGAACAAATCAAAGCAAGTCTTAAAGACTGAAATCGTTTGAGCATCTTTTCCAACCACAGAAATATGAAACTAGAAATTAATATGGAGAAAATGGAAATTCACAAATATATGAAAATTAAACACCATATTCCTGAAAATTCAATGCATCAAAGGATTAAAAATGAAATAAAAATATATGTTGAGACAAATGAAAATGGAAACAAAACACACAAAAACTTATGTAATGCACCAAAAGCAGTTCTAAAACAGAAGCTTATAGTGAGAAATGCCTACATGAAGAAAAAAGAACACTCACTAACAATCTAACTTTATGACTTAAGGAAGTTAAAAAAAAAAAAAAAAAGCCCAAAGTTAGCAAAAGGATGGAAATAATAAAACAGCAGAAATGAGTCTAAAAAAATTAAAAAGATGGACAGAATGGTTGTTTCTTGAAAAGGTAAACTGGCAAACCTTGAGTTAGCTTTAAGTAATAAAAAGAGAATATCTGAGTAAATAAAATTGGAGCTATTACAACCAATACCACATAAAAAGATCATACATACAGTCATGTACAAGAATAGGTCAACAAATTGGATAATTCATAAGAAACAAGTTAAGTTCCTAGAAACATTCAATCTACCAAGACTAAACTATAAAAAAAAGAAAATCTGAGCACTTCAATTCAGAGAAAGGATACTGAATCAGTAATAAATATTCTAAAAGAGAAAAGCCCAAAATCTGATGGTACCACTGGTAATGCTACCAAACATTTAAAGAAGAATTGCTATCAATCCTTCTCAAACTCTTCCAAGAATGTGAAAAGAAAGTAGTATTTCTAAATATATTTTATCAGGCCAACATTATCCTGCTATGAAAGACATACAAAGACAGTTTAAGAAAATATTTCCATATCCCTGAAGAAATGATATAAAGTCCTCAAAAATAATATTAAACCAAATAAACCAACACACTAAAAAGAGTCTATGAGGTAAGATCAAACACTACAATGAATGTTTATATAAAAACAAAATTTATTACAGTAAAGCACACACTACCCTTAATCTCCCTCAAAACACCCCTCCTTCCTTTGGACACACATCCCATCATTCTTGCCATTGCCGGAAGCAGTTCCAGAAGTCTTCCTTCTTGCCTTTTCGTGGCTGCCTCAATGTCCTGACATTCAAAATATTTACCTTTCATAATCACTTTGACTTCAGTGAAGAACTGGAAGGCACATGGTCCTAGGTCTAGTGAATAAGGTGATGAGGACACACCACAACGAGATTTGACAGAAACTGCTGTCAATGTTTTGAATCTATTCAGGACACTGAGACAGCCATGAAAAGGCATGGAAGAGGACTTCCAGAACTGCTTCAGAAGGTGCAGAAGGTGATGAGATGTGTTGGATAGGGCAGGTGTTCTGAGAGGGACTCATGGCAATGTGTCTTTTACTACAGTAATTCTTGGGGGTTTGATTTGGGTTATTTGTTTGTTTGACACAGGGTCTTGCTATGTAGTTTAGGCTGGCTTCAAATTCATGACAATCCTCCTGCCTAGTGCTGGGATTACAGGCATATTCCACCACACCCAGCAATTCAGTACATTCTTCAAAAGTTAACTGTTCACTGTAGTTTTGTATTACCCTTGATCTTAGCCAAAAGGCCAAGAAGCAATCACTGTAGTTTTTATTGCAGACCATATATGTGGGATGCAAAGATAGTCTAACATATGCAAATCAATAAGTATGATATTCCACAGGAATAGAACAAAGAGAATAATCTTATTATCATTTCAACAGACTCATTAAAAGGATATGAAAAAAATTCAACATCATTTCATGAAAAAGTCTCAACAAATTAGGTATAAAAAGCATACCTCTTTCAATTCCTACTACAAAAAAAAAAAAGGTATACCTCAACAGAATAAACACCATATATAAAAAGCCCACAGCTAAAGCACCCTTGTGACTTTAATCCTGTTATGCCAATTTCCTTAGATTAAGAAATACCAAACGGATTAGTGAAGCATGCGCTCGATGGGGTGGGGGTGTGTGGAGGCGTGGTCTTGGGTACCAAATATGACCCCTTGCTCCTTCCTCTCTGGCCTCCAGGAAGCAGCTTTGCTCAGGCACACCCTCCTGCCAGGAAGCTACTGCCTTGGAGCCTGCCAACCAAGTATGGAACCCCCTGAAACCATGAGCTAAATTACACTTTCCCTCCTTTAAACTGTGTCAGGTATTGTGTGGCAGCACAAGAGAAAACTGACTCATAAAATAGAGTGAAAAAACAATTGAAAGCCTTCCCTCTAAAATCAGGAACAGACAAGAATGCCCCACATTACCACTTCTATTCAGTGGAGTACTGAAGTCCTAGCCGGAGTAATTAGGCAAGATAAGCAAATAAAGGACCTCCAAATTGGAAAGGAAATTTTCTCTGTTTGCAGACAACATTGATATTATATACCAAAAAAATCCAAAGAGCCTACCAAAAGAACTTGTTACAACTAATACTAAAAATTCAGTAGTGTTAGGCATGGTGGTACAAGCCTGTAATCCCAGCACTCGGGAGGCTGAGGCAGGAGAAGTGCCTTGAGTTCAAGGTCAGCCTGGGTTAAGTGAGTTCAAGACCAGCCTAAACTATATAGTGAGATGCTGTCTCAAAAACACACACACACACACACAAAAAAAAAATCAGTAAAGTTGTAGGATAAAAATTAACATTAAGAAATGAATTTTGTTTCTATACATGATAAATTATCCTAATAAGTTAAGAAAAACATCTCATTTGTAATAACATAAAAAAAACACTTAGGAATAAATTTAACCAAGGTGGTAAAAAAATATGTACACTGAAAACCATAGTAATACCAGTAACATCAAGCACGTGTGGAACATTTTCTATGGGTGGCAATGTTCTAAGGACTTCATCTTACATAATTCCCATAAATGTCCAATGAAACGGCCACTATTATATCCCTATTTTATGGATAACTAAAGAAGACACAGCAAAGTTAACTAGGCCTCAGTCACTGAGTAAGTGGCAGACCAGAATATAACTCCAAGCAATCTTCTTTCAAAGCCAAAATGCTTGACATTTTATATGTAAAGCACATGGTACCCTACCCAGTACAGTGCAGAAGATACTTAGAAAATAAATAAATGCACAAAAATTTCCATTTTGGGGGGTATGACTGGAATACAAGCAATTGCTTGCTGCAGTGAACATCTAAAGTTTTTTTAATGAAGGTATATATACCAATGCAGTCACATTCTTATGTGTAAGTATAATTTATGACCATAAATGTTGCTGTTTAGAATGTGAGTGAAAAATGCAAATTACTCCTCACTGATATGTTCTTTAGTTGAACTATAATTAACAATCAAACTGAAGAATATATTGGGATAATTTCAAAAGTACCTGGTGATTCTGGAGTTAACACTGGCTACAAATCCGACCACCACCACTTGCTTGTTGAGTGTATCTCTACAGATATCAATACCGACCACCATCAGGGACTTTAACTACAAAATTAAATATGTGATGATTTAATAGGATAAAGGATCATGCCTATGATGTTTTAAAAAAACTGTCTCCCATCACTAGACTATTTAAATTTTGTGTCAGGGAGAGCAAGATCCAGATGAGATAGAGTATTAAACCAAAAACCAGAGAGTTAAAGGTAAAGAGAAGAATATGATACATATTTCACTTAAGAGACCCACTATAACCCTAAATAACTGTCACACTTAGTTGGGGTGGACAAGAGGCACCAGTGGCTGAGACTTAGGGAAAGTGGTCCATCTACCCCTTTCCTCTGGGCTGAAGGAATCTGAAAAGGAATTTACTCTTGTTTCTCAGGTTGTTAGGGAATCCTGACTTGGCTCTGCACCTGCGGCAGGGGAGCTGTGGTAACCACATTCAATCACCTGGGCTACAGAAACAGAAAGGAACAAATACATTCACCCACTCCTCATTCAGCACACTTCCTCCCACAGTGGCCAGAGTTTGGGAAACTGAAGAGGATTTTCTCAGTCCACCACAGTTAGAAGGTGGAGATCCTAGACTGTGTCAATGCCTCAGACTCTGGGGATTGGGGGAGGGATGCAAAGCTCCTCTCAGAGACAGCTCTCTGCTGCAACAGGTAAAGATAAAGACTATGGAAAGCAGATTTCAAAACAGCAGCTGGAAGGATCCAAGTCAAGCCCCCTGTCACCCTCGGAAGCCTAAGACATACTAGATTCTCTTTCATGAAATGTTCTAGGTTAGCACTGAACAGAAGTTCCCTGAGAAGAGGGGTTGTGCTTTAACTTCCTTAATATCTCTGTAGTGGCTTGTGTAATAGCAAAACCCAAAAGTTCAACAAACAAACCAGATACAGTTGTCCCTCCACATCCAAGGGTCCTGCATTTACGTTATGCTAGGTACTATCAGCAAAGAAGATTTAAAGCACATGGTGAGATGGGTGTAGGTTCAAGCAAATATCACACCATTTTAAATAATATACTCAAGCATCTGCAGACTTCGGTATCCCGGGTTGGGGAGAGGGCACGCCTAGAACTAACACCCCGAGGATAATGAGGGATAAAAAATTCTGGGATCAGGTGATATTATCCCCTACTTTGATTTAAAAGTTGATTTGTTGGTCACTAAAAAGGAAGACTGTGACAGGGTCCTCACAGGTATCTCCACAGCCCACAGCTCGCCTCCGAGTTTACAGGACATCTGCATGGCAATCTTGGTGGCAACACTCGTCCTCACTCCCTGTTTGTTCAAGGTCCGAGTAAGTATACACTGGCTTGGAACTGGGCAGTCTGAACTCAAGTATTTTTTAATGGAATCATAATAGTTCTTCTGATTAGAAGGCAGAATGCACATCACCTGAAGCAAAAAAAGAAAAAGCAGAACATAAAACCAGTTTATTAATGTGCGGGAGCTTTCTGAAACAAATGAATACATGGATTCTCCAAACATTTTTTTGCCCCTAAGGGTCCAAGAAGCAAATATTAACATGCCCACATTTCTCTCAAATTGCCTTTAAACTGCGGACAAATTGATCACTGGCACTTAAAATGCCTGGTCATCAGCCATTCGTGCCAACCCTCCCCATCTCCCCTTGGCTTCTCCTTCCTCCTCCTTTCTCGCCGAGTCGATTCCATTTGACCCCCTTAAGTTCCCTGCTCACTAGCTCTTTCTCCTAAGGCAAGTTGGTTGTCTTTGGGTTCTGCAGGAGAGTGACCTTGTCTATGCAAAATTTACACATAAAGTATTCAAGAATAATAAGGGATTGTGTAACTTACCCCCAAATGGTTCATGGTAAAAATAGAAAGTGATAAAATAACTATAACAAAATGTCAGTAATAGGTATTCTGGTAAGGCTACGTGACAGTTCTTCATACTATTCTTACAACTATTCCGTAAGGTGGATTTTATTTAAATAAAAAGTAAATGCTCTAAGGTGACAATTCTCTAATATAACATCCTTTGGACATTTTTTGTGTCTGATTAGAAAAGAGCCTAAGACTGCTACTCTAATTTGCCCGTGATCTAAACAAGAATGTTGGTGTTGTGCTGAGTCAGCGAGGGAGGTGCAAAGAGAAAACGGAAGGGGCAGGAGAAGTATAATTCGGGGAAGGACAGCTTAGTAGGAGAGTACTTCCAGAAAACGGGAACGCTTAGGCCATTGTTAAGAACTTGTCTGGAATGTCCTAATGTGATATGACCATGCTTTGCAGACAGCTCAGAGTGTGGTATGCACGCATGCACACACATGCATCGGCACACACAACACTGGTGAATGAGGCAACTGCAGAGGCCCGAAGAGTGGTGAGCTGCAAGAGGAAATGGTACTGTTACACGAAACACAGAGAAGGTGGCAAGTGGAAACCTGGGGTCATAGTCAGCTAAGTAAGACCCAGGCCCTCAGAAAATGCACTAAGATACTGGAGAGGAAACAACTACCCTAACGCATATGGGAAGAGATAGGAGTCAATTTCTCTTAAATCTTACGTAAAAGATGACCCCCCAACAAGATGGAAACTATGCAGACATCCAAGAAGCTGACGTAATAAGAAGTACGCAAAAACTGTTGGCAGGGGCTGGGGATATAGCTCAGTGGCATAAGCGCCTGCCTGGCAAGCGAAAGGTCCTGAGTTCGATCCCCGGTACCACACACACACACAAAAAAAAAAAAAAAAAAAAAATTGTTGGTAATCGGGAAATAAAAAATTGATGAAAACACTGACATTAATCCTTTCTGGAATGCTTTGGGTGAAATGCACAGGAATTTACAAACATATCATGGGAGAGTATACTCAGATTCCTTCTTTACTACTGATATAAAGAAAAAATAAAAATTGCACATCAAAAACATCCTATACTTACCAACTGAACGTCAAGATCAACATGCTGCTGGATTGCTCTCAGGAATGCAGCTGTATTTTCTTGAACTTTTATGCTACATAAAAAGATTAATTCCATTTTTAGTAGTACATAATTATTTGGTGATGGAGATCATACAAATGGATTTTCAAAACAGATTTGTAATTTTAAGAAAAAAGCATTAAAAACTGAAACTCTAAAATTGTCTAAAATTGTCTCTCCTACTATGGGATATGCCCAAAGTATTTAATAATCATTTTTATGAATGTACAAACCATTTGATGGAAAATAAAATTTCTCAATTGTACAGAATCCCTTTGATTAATATTTCTGCTGTTCAAAACAAGTTTAAAAATGAACTGAAACCACAGATATCATAATATCAAGAGTCTGAAACAGGGTCCAAATTAAAGCAAGATTAAAATTTCTAATAATGAATATAATGAATATAATTTCATTCTAATAATGAATGAAAATAGTATTTTTTAAAACCTAAGGAATCATACAGTTAATAAAGCCAATATATTAACTAATCTGCATGTTTCAGGGGGAAGTTTTTCTTTTTTTTTTTTTTTCTTGTTTTTGTTTTTCACTCCTAATGATGGCTTATCTGGATCCTGGAACATCTTGCCTTAATCAGTCAGTCAGTCAGCAAGTATTTATCAATTCTGTAACATTTTGTTAGGGGGTGGAGGCTGAAGAAATTACTGCCACATCTAGGCATCTATAAATCTGGTTTCTTTAGGTAGAATCAGCTTCTATGTGTACAACTGGACTGCCCCCATGAGACTAGGGGCCTTTCAAAATTTGACCAGCAGGTGGCAGAATCACCCTGTTGCTGATTCCAACAGAGCTGCAAGAATGGCCGGCCCATAGCACCATTTCAACAATTCAACATTTCTGACTCTGTTCAAACTCTTGCACTCCAGCTCAAGCCTTTCTTATTATCCATTCCTCCTAAACTCACCAGGTACTGTCTTAGATGAGAGAAGCTATGCATATAACTCCAACAGGTAAGTGAATACTTCATAGGAAAGAAAAAGAGCAAATGAAATGTGAGCTTTCAAATAAAAGAGTCAAAGCACAGAACTCAGGCACTGGCTTATTCACAATATTTATGCGAAAAAGTGCCTGTGACACTAGTGTAGGGTCTACAAACTATGGCTTCTTTCATAATTTTTTCCTGCTTTATTAGCTCATGGGTTAAGAGAAACTAGAGCAAGGAAAATTTAAATCAAGCAATTTGTTAACAGATTTGGTAAGAAGAGAATTCTAAACTATAGAGTAAACTAAGACTTTGGGACCAGTTATGGTTTTCAACAATACTTTTGCTGCTGATGTAATTAATTAGTAACTATGTGTTTAAAGAATAACTTCCCACCTTGCCAATTAGTACATTTGCACCTTCTCAAAGAAGAAGTAACTACCTTTCTTTCTAAACATACAAAACTCAAGACAGTGAGGAACAACCAACTTTACAGCCTTCCCAAAGCAAAATAGTATTCAGTTTTGAGCATGATTGTACAGGAATGTGCAATCCCTTACAAAAATAATGTCTTCAATATCCCAAGCAACTGGCTAAGCATCCAGTAGATATTAAATGTTCAAAGAATAAACAAATGACCTGGTTTTATCAGCAATCTAAATGATTAATCTTGCTATAGTAACAAAATCAGAAAAACTTATTTTAGACTTTTTAAATTAAATTTTAAAGCATAAAATCTATAAAGTCAGGACATAACAACTTTCATTTTTTAACCTTTTTGCTGTTAAGTTTTATAAATAACTGATACAAAGGAAGAAAGGAAAAAAGTTAATAAGGTTATACATAAACCTTTACAGTTGCACACCTAGTACTGAAAAAGAGTCTCAGGTAATGAAACGACAGGAAAACCTGCAAACACAATGTCTTACACAGATGAACAGAAAATATATTATAGCTTATAAAAAAGTTTTGTTACAAAATCTATTTCTAGCTATCTTTAGCACTTTATATTAGAAGACATTACCGAAATGAAACTCTTGTAGGTAAGACAGCCATTACTTTCTTCCTTCTAACTAATCCAAATTAATATTTGTCTTAAAATGCAGTGTATTCTCACATTTTTTGGTATCCCACGTTAAATCCCATGGAACTTCCAACTCTTCTCAAGCAGCTCAGAAAGCCCTCAATCATATGTTCAGCTCTGTTACTACATACAATGAACCATTTATTCAAAGACTGCGCACTTAAAATCTTGCAAGTTCGCATATCCTTGGACCAGTCAGCAGCAGATACAGGTTGACTCTGAGAAAGAAATCATAAACACATTTATTCAGCAAGCAAATAAACAAAGACACTGTGCAGATGGCCAGTGTTTGTCACAACAGAGTGATTTAAGGCAGTTTGCTATTCACAGTCTTAAAAACACAGACGCAAGCACCGCTCATCTGAACAGAATACATTTGCTTCCAGGAAGTGGAGGCATCTGGGACCATCCCACGTCTGCCAAGTCCCAGATACAGAACTTTATGTAAGATCTCATAGGTCTCTGCTTGTGCAGAAAATGGTATCTGATTCAAAGATATCTGAGGTTCATTTCCAGCTCTAAAAATCTATATCCTTTTCTTATAAATGGCTCAGGCTGTCCAGTTTGGTTGCCTTGCTTTAGGCAACCTGTTATCTCAAACAGAAAATGATGATTATTGATACTCTAGGTCACACTACTAATCTTGAGAATCCCTACAGGGAAGATCAAACTATATATTATGCTAGAAATAGCTATATGAGGAGCAAAGATGAGGTTAGGATGCAAGTTGTTCTCCCTTCTTGGGTAGTTCTCAGGTGACTAAGAAAAACAAGTTCCATGAACTGAAGGGGGGAACGTTAGACTGGAGCCCAGCATTCTGCTTGTATCCAAGGTCTCGAGATACAGTGGACCCTCGAGTTATGACTGGCCTGACCTATGAACAACTTGGGTTACGACTGGGGTTTTAGGTTTAATTTAAAACCAAAGTCTTGAGTTATGACCCAAATGCTGGCTACTTGTGCAGCTGTAAACGAAGACTCGTGATGCTAGAAAAGGTTATGTAAGCATACCTAGGCATGAGTCTGAGCCCAGACAGACATGTCTGTGCACCCATTTTAGTCAGTGCTTTATACAATCGCTATGAGTCCTGCTATCAAAATGGCCCCAAAAAAGCTAGAAAAGAAGCTCAGGAGAGAAGGCAAGGTGAAGAAAGCAACCACAATAGAAAAGAACAGTGTTAAACAAAAGACAGAAATGACAACCTTAGATCAGCTTTTAGTTCTGAAAAGGTTGAGACCTAGTGAGCCAAAGAGAAAGGACACCAGAGAGCTGGGCTCCTGATGTTCTTATGGAAGAGGACTCCTCCCGAACAATAACCACCTTCCACTTCATCCTCTTTCCTGCACGCCAGAGACGTCAACTGGAATGGTGAGCACAGTATGAAACTGTTGTTTCTGGTAAACTAGGCACACTTTATAACTTCTGCTGAATACATTAGGAAAATTACTGGTGTTTCTGGTAAATTACGCACATTATACAACCTTTTTTATTAAAAAAAAGGTTAGTTAAGGGGTGCTTTGGGAGGTTCAGAATGCATTATCAGTATTTCCATTTTTATTTTTTATGAGAAAATAGTCTTGACTTACAACTAACTTGAGTTACAACCAGCCCTTGCAACAAATCAGTTCAAAAGTCAAGGGTCCACTGTAAATGAAAATGTTTTTAATGTTAGTAACTAGGGAGAACCACTGTTAGAATTAAATGGAAGTACACTCTAATCTTTTACTACTCAAAGTGTTGTCCTATGGACCAGCAGCATGAGCTATGGGAGGAGCCAATCAGAAATGCAGTCCTAAGCCCTGCCCCAGATCCAATAAATCAAAATCTGCATATTAACAAGTTTCCCAGGTGGTGCATACAAGCTGTAATGTTTATGAAGCATTCCAGGACCCTTCAAAGCTGTGGCTCAGAGAAGCTAGGAGCCAGCTTGGCAGCAGTGACAGCATTTTTTTTTTTTTTTTTTT